TTTTTTTGTCACAGTAACACAAAACTGACTAACACAGGACTCTTATTACTCCTTAATTATTTCCTGTTTCTTTGACCATTCTGAAGACATTTTGAGGGCAAGACCACTCCTTGGGAATATTTCCAAAAGGAAGAAGAATGACCATAGGCATGAAGAAGCAGCAGTACCTGGCTAGCTTTGGCTTGCTTATTCAGCATAGGGTGTGATAGTTGCCTCTTCCACAGTATGCCAAAATCCTGAGGTAGTCTGGTGGGATAAGGAGAGAGCCAAGCTCTAAATCTGTCTCTGTCATGACCTTGGGACAGCTACTTCTGGGCCTCTGGTTTCTCATTTGTAATCCCATAGGAGACTGGATGAAGTCAGGTTTCCCAAAGTGGATCCTTTAACACTCACAGAGCATCAAATAATTTTAGTGCTTGTAAACAGCCCTTAGTAGTGCTGAATTACAGCATAAAAGTGTCATTCTCATTGCTTCTTGAATTCTCCTAATTAAATTAAAGAGAAAGTCTCAGATTGGGGATTAACATGGTTTTTTTTCCTCCAATTACTTTCTGTTACTTGGTAATTTTCCTTTAAAACTTTTCAATTTGATTGCCTTATATTTATTTTTACCATTCTGGTATGAGTTCATCCATATTCATTTTTATCATTACCTTCCAAGCAAGTGAAGTTGATTCTTCACTATTGTAATATTAATTTCCCTTTAAAATAAATTTATTTAAGTAAAAAATAAAGTTGCACCAATGGTAGCTATCATTTATTGAGTAGCTTATATAGGTCTTGTACTTTACATGTGTTATTTCTAATTTTTCCAAAATTCTAAAGAGTCATTAATCTCTGATTTATAATCAAGATGATGAATTTAGAGCGAGAAGTACAAAGTCTGAATGAGGATTTGAAACAAATCTTTCCTATCCTGAGGCCTGTGTTCCTTCCACAGTCCTACTTGCTTCCTCTCCATTCGGGTCTAACATCTGAACCCATATTAATGTGAAACACTCAAAGCTGGCCACATCCAGTAGCAAATTAGTGAGACCCTATCTCAAAACAGAAAAAGAAATTAGTGTGTCAAAGAGACATCTTTACCCTCATGCTTATTGCAGCACTAACCAGCCTATGTATCTACTAACAGATGAAGCAATATAAAAAAACGTGGTATGTGTGTACAATGGAAAATTATTCAGCTATGAACAGGATGGAATTCTGTCATTTGCAACAACAGGGATGGAACTGGAGATGATTATGTTGAGTGAAATAAACTGGGGACAGAAAGACAAATATCAGATGCTCTCACATGTGAAAACTAAAATTGATCTAAAAAAATAGAAAATAGAATAGTGGTTACCAGAACCTGGGATGAATGCGGGGAAAGGATTGTGATGAGGATGATTAATGGGTACCAGGATAAAGTTGTAGAAAGGATTTAAAACGTTCCTAACCCAAAGGAATGTTAAATGTCTGAGATGACAGATATGCCAGTTACCCTGATCTGACCATTACTCATTAGATACATGTATTGAAATGTCACATTATATCCCATAATTATGTACAATTACTATATATCCATTAAAATTTTCAAAAATATTTTTTAAGAAAAGAAAAGAAAAATCATAGTGTTTGTGAAGCAAGAGCGAATGATCTTCTGGGCATGGTGGTTCACACCTGTAATCCCAGCTACTTTGGAGGCAAAGGTGGAGGATTGTGGTCTAAGGGTGGCTTAGGCAAAAGCATGAGACCCTTTCTGAGAAACTTGAATCAAGTGTTAAAGTGCTTTCCTAGCAAAGGCAAGGCCCTGAGTTCAAGTCCTAGTACTGTTAAAAAAAAAAGCAATTCTCTTGACATTTAAAACCACTCCATATATGTGCTATATACATATATGTTAACTAGGATGCAAACCAGTAGTCATTTAGGTATAAAAAAGTTGCACATCACTCCTCTCCTGTTCCCCTAAGTGACTGCCATCAAACTTCACAATTGCCTTGATGCAACCTGGTCTGACCTTGCACCCATGCCCCTGACTGGAACAGACAACTGTCAGTGTTTTCACTCATTTCTCCATCCCATCCCAAATATGCTCTTTCCTTATATTTCCCTGCTTACACTAAAGCATAAGTGTTTTGGCCCATGTAGTCTAGTCCATTGCCTTCTCCTGTTCTTCTATCCTCAGTTCCACATCCAATTAGTTACCAACTGTCACCCATGAACTTTATTTGTCAACTCGACTGGGCCACATGGTACCCAGATAGTTGGTCAAATATGATTCTGCTGTGTCTGTGAGGGTGTTTGAGATTTATATTTGAATTAGTAAACGCCCTACAGATTCAAACTGAAACACAGGCTCTTGGGGTCTTGAGTCTGTTGGATTTTGGATAGGAACTATACCTCAGGCCCTCCTGATTACAGATCTTGGGACTTCTCAGTCTTTATAACCATGTGAGCTAAACCCTTTTAATTGACCAATTTCTCTCTCTCTCTCTTTCTCACACACACACACACACACACACACACACACACACACACACACACACACATCCTATTAGTTCTGGAGAACCGTGATCAATGCACCAAACCTACAGATTTTTCTCTTCAGCATCACCAAGATCTTCCTTTTCTTTTGACTGCTGCCATCCTAACTTAGGATGGCGTCCTCTCCCCTGTGGCTGGACTACAGACTATCATCATTAATTCTAGACATTTCCCTGCTCCTGCGTCTCTCTCTTCCCCACCTTCATTCTCACTACTGTGGAATTACTCTTCCAAAAGCCTTACTCTAATCACACAAATCTCATCATTTCTTCATTGCCAAGGAAAAACTGAAGTCCCTTAGGACACATCAAAGTCTACCATGATTCAGCTTCAATATAGCTTTCCAGTCCTTTCTCCCAGTGTTCTCTTCTACATCTTTTAGGATGTAGGGAAACTGTACAATACACCATTTTCTTGTATTTATGGTTTTGTTCACTTTCACCTTCTAGTTAAATCCCTAACCCTCCAGTCCTATAACCACCACCTATCCAAAATCCCATCCTTCCTTGAAGTGTAGTTCAAATTCTATCCCCACTTAAAGCCTTCTAGAACATTCCTGCCTAAGGTGTAAGAGTCTCTCCCCTTCTAATCCCACAACTTTTCTCTTGTATGTTTTTCAAATTCTGACTTGTACTCTACTTGTTTGTGGATGTCTTCTCTTCCCTGATTCTCTAGGGTGGAGACTGCATCTAATTCATCTTTATTTTCCCCCAAGGTCTAATTCAGTGCCTCTATTGTTGTATAGATGAATATTATCCCAAGTGAAATGAAATTTGAGAGTTAAATGTAGCATGAAAGCCTAACATACCACCTCATAATTGAGTTTGAAGGATGAACGAGACCTGGATTATTATTTGTGGCAAACATCAAACATTACTGTTTTAAAAGCTGTCTACAGGGGCTGGGGGTATGGCTCAAGTGGTAGAGAACCTGCCTGTTAAGCAAGCGTGAGACCCTGCGTTTAACTCCTAGACCACCAAAAAAAGAAAAAAAAAATCTGTCTACAGTATATGCAAGTTGCTAAGCAGTATTTCTTAGTTCTGCACGACCTGGAGAGTTTTGAAATAATCACTCCCGACCAGTTAAATTAGAAGCTCTGGGGAGGGCTGTGGGCACTCTTTTTTTTTTTTTTTTTTAAGACATTCACAAGTAATTCTGACATTGAAAATCACAGGCTGTAGGGAACAGCAGCTGAACCGATCATGGTTTGTAGGCAGAAATGAACTTCTGTTGAAAAAGAGACTTCAATTGATCTTTGATTGTGCAAAGGTAAGGCAAGGTTTACACAACTCTGCAAAATAATATCAAAAGTTAACATTTATTGAGAACTTACTCACTAATCCTTCTGACACCCCGCACTGTTAATGATTGCATTTTATAAGTGAAGAATATGCGGTTCAGAGAAACTTCCTTACCCAGGTAATTAAGGTCGCCAAGATGTGAAGTCATGAACCTGATATTCAGGTTCTTCCGAATGTATGTGTGTGTGCATACATGTGTGCACACATATGGGCCTTTTCTATACAGGCAAAACAGAGATTTGAAGGGCCTGGAATTGGGTGTTGGGAAAAAAAAGAAAGCAAAAGACACCTCTGATATAAGAAAAGAGAGACCTTGGAACATGGTACCAGGCTGGGTCCAGACAGAAAAGGTCAGTAAGGGCCTCTCAGGAGAAGGCTGGGCTTCAGACATGGAGCAAACTGGGCTCACTTGCAAGTGTTCTTTTTCTGTCTCATAATTCCATTATGATAGTTGGCTTCAGCTAAGTGACAGGTAACCTTGGGGAAGTGTCCATATTGGGGTTGGGCAACAAAGGTGTGCTTTGGACTCTACAAGTTCCTGCCTGAGGACAGTGTGGGCAGTTCACTGCTAGTCTGGAATCCCAGTAGCCCAGGAGGTGTCACTGAGAGCAAGAACAAGGTAGACTGAAGCAGAAAGTTCGGAGTTCCTGCCCCTTTTCCCAGCAGTAGTAGCCTCTGATTAGAAGGGAAACTAGACCCTGCCATCCAGAGACAGAGGCTGTCTATCTCCCCGATCTCCTGTGCCGTTACTGTTGACACACAAATGGAAATAGAAGGTGTGAATATGGACTGAGGACATGCATTGTGTTGGAACCAAGCCACTCTCCACTCCACTTCTCCAAGGCCTATTTAGAGAGGATAGATTCGTTTGAATGAGCTTGTCTACATTGTGTCTTGAGAGTTTTTGGAATCAAAAATATCCAAGATTGAATGGCTGAAGCCACATTTTACTTCTTTGGATCTCAGTTTATCTGTCTGTAAAATGGAAATAATAATGACTTCACATCGTTACTGCAAAAATGAGTAAGATGCCCATGGAGAGCAGCTGGCACAGGGCTTGGGTGCAGCACGGGGTGATGTCACTTAACTTGTTTCCTGGGCTCCAGCCTCCAAACCCCACCCTCAATTAGGCCCCAATACCTCGCAGATGATCCTTGGGAAGTCAGAACCTACCTTTGGTTAAGGAGTGAATCCCGAGCTTGACTTGGGAAAAGTTTCCACTCCCAATTTCCCCTCGGATTCTGTAGAAGCCTATGCGTTTCCCCAGGGTGATCTCCCTCACCATCTTCTCATCTTGGGACATGTCCTGCGTCAGCTTCTCGAAGGGTGTCAGCTGGTGAGGCTGGACCTCATCGCCCTCCTTGCTGCAGTCCGTCTGACAGCCGCTTTCTACGCTGTCGCGCCGGTCCCACCTGGCATAGTGCGAGGTCACCATGCCGCCTCCATTCGCGCACACTGCCGTCATCGTCCACGCGGGCTCATCTCAGCCAGGAGCTACCGGTCAGGGCAGGTCGCGGAGCAGGCAGAGGCCCAGTGCTTGGGAGATGCCAGCGGAGACCTGCCGGAGTCAGTGACCACGAAAGCTGCCTGTGACCTGGGCAAAAACTCCTTGCTGAGCCTCAGGAAGAAGAAGCAGAGCCCAGCTAAAAGCTGCTAGTCTCACTCCGAGCCTTCCCAGCTCCCCTCACCGTGAACTTGCAAGCTTTCACTAGGCAGTTAGGCACATATTCTGTTACCATAGCTCTAACTGGGATGGAACTCCAGGAACGTTCTGGTCCGATGTGGTGTCTGATGCTCTGTGATCGGTGGCTGTGTCCCAGGACAAAGGCTACAGTTTGCTATTTCCATTGATGGCCAGGCAATCTTGCACTGCAGTGCGTAAAAGCCCCGGGAGGCCCCCAAGTCCCTGCTGCCCAGGCTTTTCTCTGACCTTCTTCATTTTATGCTTCTCTTGCTGTCAAGTCGCAGGGCCCTGGAGAGTTAATAATGTGAGCCCCAGGAAGGAAGCTCTTGCAAATCAGTCTTCCATCACAAGGGCAGCCAGAGAAGGATTAAATCCCCGCAATGTCACTTTAGCTGGCCTTTATTTAGATGAGCCTTCCTCTAAGCAGGTGGCTGGCTCATCCTAAAAAGAGAGTAAGAAAATTATTAGCCCATGCTGGTGTACTGTACAGCATTTACACTGAACGTGGAAGTGCTTTGTAATCATTTGTCTAAATGCACTTTGACCCGTATCTGCAGTAGATGCTTGCTTACATATGACTTAGTAAAAAGAAAAATGTACTACCCACACTCCTCAATCTACATTTTAGGGAAGTCCTTATAGTCTGCACAGCTTACCATCAAAACAATTTCTCCCTCTCTCTTTTATTTATATATTTATGTGTGTGTGTGTGTGTGTGTGTGGGTGGCTATACAGAAGTCACTCGCTTGCTAGGCAAGTGCTCTAACTCTACCACTTGAGCCACTCTGCCAGCCCTATTTTGTGTTGGATATTTTTGAGATAGGGTCTTGTGAACAATTTGCCCAGGCCGGCCTCCAGCCTCAATCTCTGACTCCCAAGTTACTAGGATTACAGGTGTGAGCCACACCCACCTGGCCAATTTTCCTTTTTCTTGAAGTTGAGGAAAATGTGCCTATTGTATTGGGTTGCTTCATAGCCAGATTTTTAAAAATAACACAATAACAATGAAGACAATAAATATCCTCTATTATTTCAAATATTTTCAAATTTTCTTATATTTATATGAATAATCATATTTTATCTCCAGTTAATGCCTTGATGTTCTTGTACAACTTTTCCTATACTAGTTGCTTCCACTCTTTTTGTTACTCTGTGACAAAGGCTAATTTTTCCCTTATGCTTATTTTTTAAATATCTCTGGTCAGCCACCAGGTCCAGCACTGTGTTTTGAAGTTGGGCAAATGGAGGTAGAGTCTGCAGCAGTATCAGTGATAAAAAAGACTGCCCATTGGCAATGTCTTCCAGACTTTTTCCCTGTACTATCCAGTAGGAGACAATCTCTTCCTCTCTGAATCCACACAGAACTTTGTGCATTTTCTGAAATACCTCCTCTACGTGAAGGTGGGTTTAATTCATCTGCATGTCTTGCTCCCCTCCTCTCTCCTTCAGCATGAAATATGATAACCTACATATAGAAAGTGTTCACTAAGTGTGTGTGTTGAACTTGTTTTTGGACTTGAGCATTTTTGAACCAAAAAAAATGGCTGAAACATGATAGATTGCCTTGGAAATGTGGATTTCCAACTCTGATATTGATGAGATCACATTATCATTATTGCTTTTTTGTTGTTTTATTTTTATATACTGGGGGTTTAACCCAGGGCCTCAGGCTTGCTAGGCAAGTGCTTTACACTTGAGCTACTCCCAAGTCCAATATCACATTATTACAGTGAAGAATAGAGCTGCCTGTACTATATCGTGGTTAGGTACAGTGATACCAAATAAACATAAATCAGAAAAGTTAAGAAGAGATTGATGTCCAGTACTGTTCTGCTTTCTGGATATGGGGAGAGGAAGCTGAAAGAAGGATGAAGAATACAGGCTTCATTCTTCTTCCAGCTTCCTCTCCCTCCACATCCAGAAATAGGGACCAGGTAAGTAGTAATTAAACATGTCTAGGTCAGAGTCTGGTTAGGATGTTTTAAAAAACATGTTCAAGAGATCCTTAATTGGGTTAAGAAAACCAAGGTCACTAATTGGTAATTGTCCAGGGGTCATAGGCTCCTTTGAGATTGTAACAAAATGTATGACCCTATCTCCAGGAAAAAGCCACACTGACACAATTTGCTTCCAATTTAGATGGGTTCACAGACACTGATATATCAATCCCTCTATCTTGGGCTAAGAATCTGAAAAGGTCAAGTGACACTAGATCTCCTTAGATCTCTGGCACAAAGAGACCATGCGGCTTATGCAAGATGAAGTACAGAAGCATTAATTGTAACTGTGAAAGAAACTTGAGCTTAAAAGAGAAGGATTCTGGACAGGGTGCCATTCTCGATCGCCTCCTGAGCTAGCAGACTATGAAGAACTTCTTGGCTCTGTGTCCTCTCAGAGTCCTCTCTTCTGTGCTGACCTTGTCGCTGACCTACTTAGATCCCAAGTAGATAAGTGCGGAAGGGCAGGAACCTGCTCTTTATTCTCTGTCATCCAGGGTTCTGCACAGTGCCTGGTACTTAATTGATAAATTTTGTTGACGAACGGATAAACTAACTTAACCAATTCACTGTTATATTCAGGTATGATTTAGAAGAGGTAAATATGTTTTATTTATAAACTAATAATACCATCTCAACATTTACTTTAATTATCTCAGAAAACTTATTTCAGCCCACATTTCCAAAACCTGGCTATCCAGTACTAGCTGTTAGGATTCTTGGCCCACCTTCTCATACAGGTGAAAGCTTAGTTTGAGTTCAGCATCTGACTGAGAATTGCTACAGGACTCCTTAGAAATGCAAGTCTCCCCATTCTTCCCCTTTCCCAAGGATCGCCTCCCTTCAAGCCCCAAGGGCCAAGCTTCACTGCACTGGCTCTCCTCCACCTGGCTGAGCTGTTGGTCCAGGACTTGTTCTCTGTTTTCCTGGTTCCCCAGCTCTCTAGTTTTGGGCTCTGTATCTTGAATTCCATTGAGACGCTTGGATATATAATGGGAGCGGGGTGAGGCTGGGGGGTGGGGGTGGAGAGGGTGATTAGCCTTGCTACCCTCACTAACTTCTAGTACCTCCTGAGAACTCCTGTCCTTCCAATTCCACATAGATCAGATACAATTGTGGGAGATGGTCGGGTTCTATGTTTAATTACATACTTAAATTTCTTGCAAAATGGTCTTGAACCAGCTGTGGTGCCTTAATGGTCAGGGGGCTAGTCAATCTTTTGTCTAGATCAGATAAAGAAGCTCTTACACTTTAGCAACTGCTGCTGTGGCTTGTGCCAAGGATGAGTTGCAACTTGTTGGCGACAGTTAGCAAGCTAATTGGGGGAAAAAAATTGAACTCTAATCCAAAATAAATCACCTAAGTAAATGTAAATAAATAAAATCATAAAACACTAGAAAAAATTTTGTGATCTCAGAGAAAACCATAAAAGAAAACACTGAATTTGGTTTACATCTAAGTGTTGGACTGGGGATTGTAGCAAAAGAAATGCCAACTTTTCACTATTTACTCTTTTATATGATTTACATTTTCTCCTACAAGCATGCATTTCCATAAAAAAGAATACAATTAAAAACACGTAATGTTTTACTCTCTTACAGAGTTGGTTACAGTAAATTTGTTTTACTATGGGTTATACCTGACTCATGGTTTGCTTTTTAAAATCAAATGGTAATTAGGGACTTTTGATTAAATGTAGAGAATTTAATACTCTCATTTATCTCTGCTACCTTCCAGTAGGAAGGAAGGGAGGAACAGAATAGGAGAGAAAAGCTATAAATTCAAAAGGACAAAGAATAAGAGAAGAGATAGCAACAGATGTGAGATGTCAGCACAAGTTGGGGGGAAAAAATGAGAGGTAACGAATAACTTAGCAAAGACAGTGAAGAAAACTGCACCCAAAATTCTGACATAGGACATAAGGACATATGCAATTCAACTACTGGGTGCTCAGAAGACATCAAACTCTGAGACCAAGTACCTTGCAGGCTGGAAGGAAGGTCTGAGGTTCAAAAGCATGGGGACTGTCTGAATGTGAAGCAGCAAGAGCCCAGGACTTTCCCTCCTCAAGGCCAGTTGTTCCTTTCTCTACCCCTCTGTGCACCTGTCCCTTGGCCCTGCTCAGGAATACAGGGAGAGGAGAGGAGATTAGGTAAACTCTACTTAAGGAATTCCCTGTTCCCTTTTTCTCCCTGCACTCCGAGTTTCCAGAAAGGAGGGAAAGAGGCATGTAAACTTCCAGTCAGGAGATCCTTTTGGATAGACTAACTCAGGGGAAAAGGCCCAGAGGTTCCAACACAAAAGCCGCCCGACCACCTAACACACAATCCTTTGCTGCCAGTGCCGTACACACAGGAGCTTCCCATCAGATCCTATTGCCTTCCTCACAAAATGAATGCCCAGTCAAGAGACACCAGAGAAAAGGCTCCAAAATGAAAAAAGAAAACTATATCCAACCAAAACAACCACCACCACAACTAAGGAGATCTTGAAGGAAACAGAACAATGAGAAAAAAAACAAAACATCTATGAAACCAGAACAAAATGCTAAGTAAGTAAATAAATAAAAGACAGTTCAGACAAGAAAGAGCTCTCTTGGAAATTAAATTATTTACTTGAAGAATCATTTAAAAAAAAATCTAGAGAAGAAAAGACAAGAAAACTGGATGACCAAATCAGAAAATCCAACATCTAATTAGTAGAATTCCCAGGCACACTATTTATTATACCCCCAATAATGTAAAACATATGGTTTCCATTGTACTTAAATTGCTAACAAATCTCAGAATTGTCTAAAACAGTAATGAATGAGGAAAAACTCCACATTCTTACACATTCTAATAGAATTTTTAAAAATAAAGAAAAAAAAAACTAATAGGAAAGATAAATCCTATACGGGTAAGTGTGTCTATGGGATATACAAATAATTATTTTGCACAGGTTTTGTTTATGCTTTCTGGAGACTTTCTGTGCATATCTGACAAAGGAAATCCTAATTACAGGTTATGGGATTGCTACAACCAATATATATCTTGATTATTTTTAGTAGCACCCCAAAACATCAAGGTACATCATAATACAAAGTATGCAAACGTTGGACGTTTTGACAGACGCAATTTCAGATGAAATTTCCCCCTTCACTGGTGCGGGTGGGGCTTTCATCGTTGTTTTGCCTTTTGCCCTTTTGATTTGGACCAAATTTTATGGGCATTAATGAGAGCTTAGAAACTCAACCAGACAAAAATATGGAGTCACGTCATGGAAGATCAAAGCCTCTGGAGGAGGCAGAATGGCTCTTAATTATTAGCTTACTGTTGCTGCATAGCAATGCATTAAATAAGATTAAAGAAAACAAGGCTTACTTAGTAATTTTTTTCCTTGACTTGCAACCCACTGTGAAAATAATATCAAAGGAAACCATCTTGCCTTTGTTCTCTTTGTCTG